GAGTGTCCAGAAAAGTGCTGTATCACTGTAAGAATTATTTAATTAATTAAGTTTGAGTGGGGAAAAAAAAATAACTTCTCAGTCTGAGAAGAAACAATCTCTGGAACCAAGCACCATTCACTTTAATAATATACAACCAAACCACTGCAATAAACTGCACAGAACATAATCCTTTGCTTTCCTAAATCTTCATATAAGTATCATTCATATGAGAATATGCATACAATCCATCTTTCCATTATTAACAACGTCTTCCAGGTCAGCGTCACAGGGGATTTCGAGCCTACCCTGGCAAGCAATGAGTACAAGACGGGACACACACTTGACAGGACACTAATCCATGGCCCGAGCACAGACAGATACAAACACGCACTCACACCAGGGCCAATTTTCCCAGAAGTCAATTAACCTACCAGTATGTTTCCAGACAGTGGGAGGAAACCCATGTGAACATAGAGAGAGCATACAAACTCCACAGAGACAATACCCCAGGAACTGAGCCCAAGGCCTCAGCACAGCGAGGCACCAATGCTAACCAGTGCATCACCATGCTGCCCGTATCTATACAATTTATTGTGTTATCAAAAATAATAGGCATGATACTTCCTCTGTGACTCATCTTAACAGTACAGCTTTAAATTTGAATTATTCTTATTTTTCTTAATTAACGGAGCAATTATACAACTATGTCAAAATGCTTGGGGTTATACAGTAATTACTCTTTATGACAATTACTTACTGATAAAAACAAATGATCTCACGTTTTCATAAGAAGAAAGGTCTTGTTGTTTATTAAGAAGACATTGAAATATAATTCCTTACATTATATACAATCCTTGCAGTGTGGTCTTGTGCAGAGAATGGTCACTCTTTTTATTAGTTTAGTCTAATAAGCGCATTGGAACTATTACAATTAAGAAATAACAAAGAATAATGAAATGGAACAAAAAAGTCTCACCAGTTCTATAAACCACTAAGCCAACAGAAGTTATTGCCTGCCAAAAAAGCAATCTTTCAAAAGCAGATTACTAAATAAATTATATATTTCGGGCAAAATATTTATTAACAATTAGCCCCAGTAAGAATCTAATGAGATTTTAATAGATATAAAAATAATTTGGCGGGTGTTCCATTGAGGCATAAACTCACTGACGCATCTAGCTGGCAATTTTGAAAATCTGAAATAATGTGGTTGCACTTAATTTAATACATTTTAGGGATATATCCACAGACTTGGATTGTCTTCTAGCTTAGTAACATTTTGCTTCTGATAGCATAAGGGTATTAAGAACAACATTAGTTGCAGGCAAAATATTCAGGCACCTTTGTGCTGAATTGTTTAATTACTACAGAGCTCATCCTGTACCTGTGTGCTTACTTTCATCTGAAAAAGCTAAGATATGGTGTCATTTAATATCACTTGGAAAGTGACGGGGGTTCTTTTAGCCTAACTAAAAGAAAAATCTTTTTGCTGTTTAGTCTACTTTTTTTTGTTAATCCTTATGTATGCAAACACACTTCTCAAAAGAGTACAGAAACAGACTGGAAATGGATCCTTTCCAAATCTTGTTTTCTTCCTTCACATACCATTAAGCTGTGATTTTCATCACACAGCAAGTTTTATGGAACTGGGTCAAATGTTTTGCCTAATAATAGGAGAGATACTACCTCCTGTCTTCCTTTAAGTGGAAACATTGCCACATTACGTGATCTACTTCAGTGTGTTACACTGGTGCACTCAATATCAATTAAGAGTCGTTAAAGGCAGATGGACTTATTAAACGTTATTTAATGTGTGCATTACTGTCAAGTGAGACTGCAAAAAAATTCAAACATGAATGCACAAGCAGAGCACGACCACTCCCTTTCACCCTGCTCCCACTGTTCATTAGAGAAGAAGCTCAGAGGAGTTTTGGCAAAGCAGACTAAATGCTTTTTTTATTGAGGATGGCTTATACTTTGAGTTAATTCATACATTTCAAGGCACTCATTTTTGCACTATGTTATGTTGATTTTGCAGAAGTCATCTTATGTGCCAGTATTATTTCACGACACAAGGCAGGCCACACCTGATATCCTGCCATGTTTTTGTGTGCGGTGCTGTTGTTTAGCTCTCTGCGGTCTTTCTGATTGGCGTGCGGTGACATTGTTGTATTATTTTGCCGGGTGACCTCAGTTCACACCAGTTGATTTCATAAATAATTTGTTACGCTTACCGGAACGGATTATATATAAAAAAAAAAACTCTGATTATGGACAATATTAATCTACCGTATCGTGGAGTAAAGATGGCTGTCAACATGATGGTCTCTTTCCTGTTTCTCCTTAGGTTCGATCCTTCTAAAATGTAGCCGTGTTTGGCCTTTTTACAATGGAAGATGTCCTGTTCTTGAACATCATCCAATCAGCCCATGAAAGGAATGATATTCAATGACAGATTAGGGCAGTAGGGGAGATGATTCATTCTTAAACAAAACAGGATGTTTTCCTCTCATGGAAAAAGTCCCAAATCTCTTTTTTTTTAGTCTTCCATGCATAACTGCCTGCTAAATTCAAATGTATCTATCGAAGAAATGTGTTATTTTACATTTCAATGATGCCATTGTGTTTGGACTTATGGTTCATAAGAAGAATGGAAAAAGACTTGCAAAATATGACGTTACGATTATTGTGTGTTATTTCTTAAGATTCTCCACTACTTATCAAGAAAAGGGACTGTCTGAATGAGCAGGCTGAACTAGACAGATGCAGAAAATCACTATTAACTACAAAACTGCTTATCTGCTTATCTTGTTGTGTGGTGAGCGTTCTGGCGCACTATGGCTGCCGTCGCATCATCCAGGTGGGGCTGCACATTGGTGGTGGTGGAGGGGATCCCCATTACCTGTAAAGCGCTTTGAGTGGCGTGTCCAGAAAAGCGCTATATAAGTGTAAGCAATTATTATTATTATTATTATTATTATTATCTTGAAAGCAATATAAATGTGTTACTGTTTTAACCTGTGGGTATGAATGTCGGGCAAATTTAATTCTACAACAAGATATGTTTTCATTTTAGCTCTGATTCAATAGTTGATTTTGCTGAATTCCTGTCTTTTGTTAAAGCAAAGTCACCTGAGGAAAGATATTCTGCGTTCTGAAAAGTGTGCCGTATTTTGAGTGTTACTACTGCTGCTGCAGAAAATGTCTGTGAAGGCATGTTTCCTAAAACTTGGCTGACATGAAAAATTCTGTCCCTCCAAGCAAAAAAATTGAGGCCCTACCAGTCTTTCTCGGGAAACTGTGTCCTTTTTTTGTGTCTTTATAGTTTTTATAGTTTTTCTTCCTGTTCTCTGCTTCTGCATAATCTGGACTAATAAAAGTCCAATAACGAGTTGCAGAATTTGGAGTTAAGTTCATATCGAGATTCGAAGATCAAAGTTGGGAGTTCCAGGGTATAACTCTTTTGTTACATTCGTTTGATACTTGATGATTTATTTATATGGGCTAATAAACTCAGATTAAGGGACATATTTTAAATCAAGTATGAATGGTACTTGGGAATAGGGAATTCAATTATTTAAATTTAACGAAAGATTTATAGAAAAGTGAGCAAACAATTAATCCACATCTGTAGGAGTGCTTAGGTATACAGAAGCTATGACCATTTAGAACCAATAAGACTTTTTACAAAAAGCATATGGATAATAAAAGGTGCGCTCCAGTTATGTTTGTCAACATGGTCTATTGTTTTTTTCAGTAAATCTTTGACATGTATGGATTTCAGAAACTCTGTTTTAGGGTCTTACGCAAGCGATGGAGTTGCCTTTCACCTTCTCTCATGTTCTAAAAGATTGCCTGCATGTAACATGTCAGAAGCACAATATTTTCTAGCAGATTTCTGGTGTGTAAACAAAGTATTGGGGTGGTTAAAGGCAGCTATTATTTCACTGCAGTATTCTGTATGGATTTATGGCCAAATCAAACATGAGATTTTAAATGGCTGTTATGGATGTATGTACAATGCTCCCCCTTAAGTCATACAAGGTTTTCAAACACAGACATAATTTAATAGTAAATGTGGGGATGCCCACATTTGTTTGGCCTGATTGTTTCCAATTTCCAGTTATTTTCCTTCCTGTACTGTAGCTTTCCTAATTTTTTTCCCAGTTCTCCTTTTCCACTGAGTACCAGCAAGGAAGACATGGAGATCATGCTTGTTTTCCTCCAGGAGACTTCCCACTGTCACCCAAGAATCATTCGCTCTTCCTTCACCCTGTGAGCCCCACTGTGCACACAGCAGAGTTGTCCTTGATTTGAGGAGTGACTCAGCTCTCACTGACAGCTGTTTGGAGTTATCACCCATGGGAAGAGCAGCACCTGGAGTTTCTTAGTCATTGCCAATTGGCAGCATACTGCAGAATAAAAACGGCCATGCCTGGGCTCTTATTAACACATAATCAACCATATTCATACAAATACTGCATTGGGTTAAAATTCACCAGAGTTCAAACTGAACAAAAGAAAATCCATTCTGAAAATCTAGGTCACAAAGCTTAGTATAGTATTTTTTTCTGCAAAGTGTTACCTGAAGATAAGATACAGTTGTTGCCGTGTTAGCCAACTGTATTTACTGTATTCAGTAGGAGAGTCACAAAAGAGAAACTTCACCACTTACCTGGCTTCTATCCAAAGCAGACTTTTTAAGAAAGGGAATAAGGAGAGGCTAATTGTTTCACGGCTTAAAAGGGCTCCAAGGCCAAAATATTGATTTATCTTCTTTCTTTTCATTTTTTAACGAGGCATTAACTACTACTTGTTCCTTTACAGTTCCCCACTCTTTGAAGTTGATGTATTAAGTTCCGATGGAGGATGGCCCAGTATTTTGCTTTCACTGGCAAGAGCCCATCACTAAGCAAACTGACACAGCTTTGTTAAATGTAGAAGCAAAAACCACCACGATTCACGTGCAGTTCTGGAAAAGTGCATGCACATTTTATTTAAATGAGTAAGCGCAATAGTTCATGACAAAAAATGAAATGCATTTTATTGAAACAAAATTTATAGTAGAACAAAAACTCAAAGAATATATACTTTTAATGCAAAGCTGCACTCTTTTGGCTCAAAAATAGCAGGCACTCAGAAACCATTCATTTACCAGGCTTATTGGAATACAAGCGCACAACACACAATCACCTTTTCAAATACACACTGACTGAAATGTCACAGGATTGGTTGACATACACTTTGAACATTGCAGCCTGGTCGCATTCTCTGTTATTCCCTATTTGGTTAATACAAAAATAAAGCATTTGGCTTTTTCAGTACAATAATGACTACAATATATATACAGTATACAAACTTATACAAAGTTAACAACAGCAGATAAACCCTCTTCCCCTCCAAACCACATCTAAGAATTATGGATTAGCAGCCAGTGATGTTAGAAACCTTAATACAAAATGATAGAAATTGTTTGAGCGTATGGATGCAAGTAATTTGAGGATGGTCCTTTATTTCTTTTGTTTATGATCTTATTATTTTTATAATTTCTAGATTTCTGCATCGGCTAACTTTTATACACCTCTTAAATGAATTTAAGTGGCTTTTCTTGGCTCCATTTGTCAGTTATGTCCCTTCTAGATGGGAAAAGACTTGTTTCTCGATCCTGCTCTAGAGTAACATTAACCGGGACCCAGTGTAACCATATTGCTAAAGAGCCACCTTTCTATCTGCTTGCCCCTGCTTGCCTTTATAGTATTCAAAATCTGGTAATGAAATAATAATTCAAATATTATTGATGATGTTTGGAATAGATCAAGTGATGACATTGTGGCAATGATGAGATAATGTTTTGGAGCAATGAAGCCACTGAAATTTCAATAGGACCACAAAAAGGAGACTTTGACTCCCTGTGGTTCAATCTGTCACCATGTGTTTTGGACTCCTGCATTCCAGTACTTCAAGGAATGCTGTGATAAATTGCTTTTCTCTGCTGGTGCATAGCAGTACAACATTTAACATCCAACTGAGGAAAACAAGAGCTTGACTACAGGTGTGGTAAGAAGATGGCCAATCAATCAACACAGAAACGGAGCTTTAAAAAAATCTAATTAGCTGTTTAATCTGTAAATACCTTTTATAAGCAGTGCAATCCACATTTCAACCTCCTTGACTCTAATCAATGCCTATTGTTCATTAAAACAGAATTAATACCACAGCAGCAAATAAGCATTTCGTTCAAGAACAAAATATATCCAGCAGCCGTTTTTTCCCCCACTTGTAGAACATGCATGACGAATGCAAGGATATACTGTCAGAAGCATGTAATGACATATTTCACATTAGTATATATGCATAATAAGGACATGTCTAACACATGCAATGCTTAATACACTGCTTGCTCCATGTGTGTGCATTAATTACTTTGACGTGTACTTTTAAATAGGAACGTTCACATCAAAAAATGGATTGCAAAAGCAGAGCTGCGAGATATATGCATTAGGCAGGTCTTCCACTGATATACGGTATACACCCCTAGTTCAGACTTCTAGTGATTGTCTGTTAGCTGTTATTGTGATATCAGTCAGGAGTGTTTGTTGTTATCTTGGCATGGCTTAGTAGGCCAGCAGAGTCTGGAAAAAGCATGGAGACAAGAGAGACCCTGTGTGAGGACTCCTTGGAAGGCAGAAGCCCCAAAGGAAAAGTGGTGGATCAAAGCATCTTAATTACCATCAATGCGATCACTCCAGCTGCTACAAAAGACAGTAGCGCTGAAAGTGATTTACAGATGCTGGAAACATCTGGACTGTCACTCCAGCTTTAGCCAGAATTCTTCTTGGTCCCCTGTTAAAAAAAAAGCGTTATTACAGTTATTAGCATAGTTTCAGACGTTTTCACACTGCAAAATGAAATTGATGCACAGTTTGGCTGGAACCTATAGTCCTCTTACATTTTGCTAAGGCAAATCGTTGTCCTGTAAAAATCCGGCCTTTTGCTATTTATTACTACAATTGCTAATAAGAAATTCTCTTTCTAAATCTGTTAGGAATCTAAGTCAAGAAATCACTGATGAATAAAAGTGATTTTACAATGCCCCAACACCTCCTTTGATTTTATAATGTGACTTTTTTGTGATGTTCTGAGTTTTAGATTCATATTTAGAGAACGTTAGTTCTGTATATTATAATGAAAGGCTCCAAAACATATTTAACAAAGGCGAAACATTAAGCAATGTACATTTAGCGAAGGTTTGAGTCCAGGGCTGTGTTTGCAGAGATTCTGCATCTCCAGACTGTGGCTAATGGACATGTAAAATGCAGTATAAGTTAACTCTATTCAGTTGTTCGTACAGATTATAAATGCTGCTGTGAGAAATCTTAGACATTTTGCATTGAGCTACTCTTTTCATGCAGGTTTTGGTCTTTATGCAGAAGCATGATTCTGGTTCAGGGTTTGCAGATTCTGGTCTGTGTGAATGATTGAAAGACACTAAATGACAACCCAGGTTTGCTCTCGCCTGAACTGTGCATATTAATAAAAAACAAAGAAAATGCTATAAGAGGCTACAGGAAAATGGGATATGCTCACAACATGCCCATTATGTAACGTCCAAAGGTTTTCAGAGACTTCCACTCAATTTGCCAGTTTCACTACAGTAAAAGAACTCTCACCCTTTTAATCTTCCTGTCGATTTTATTTATTACGTCCTCCACCCATTTTTCGTTTGGGTTGGCGCAGAACAGCTTACGGTTCCTCATCTTGAACCTGTTAGAGGCAATGAGAGTGAGGATGTGCCAGGCATTGCACCTCAGTGGGTTCAGCTATCATTGTAGATCCTGTAACTGGTATCAGAATAGCTCCAGGGCAGGAGAAAAACCAACCCAGAGAGCTGAATGGAGGTGAATGAACAAGGTGTCCACATTGTCTGAGCCTGCTGCTCTTACAAGGAATATAGACATGTTTCCTTAACAGCTGCTATTGTCAAGAAGCAAGCAAGTAAAATAGAACAGAATGACATATTAATTTAATTGTAATAAAAATGCAGTTTTAAGGCAGTTCAGTGCAGTCATGATGCACAACATAGCCTCTTCTGTGCTACTTACACAATGGCTGGAAGATTGCAACCTCCATCGGTTTTCTGTCTCCTGTACTCAATTATATTTTTTTTTACCGTCTTACTAACACGATGCACATATTTCAGACAGCAGTTCTCGTAGGAACCTGGAATTTAAAAAAATTTTGGTTTTTTTTTGGCCAGGCGGTTCCGGTTTTTTTTTCACTTTTTAGTTTGGTTTAAAAATTGCTTAGGTAAGGTTGATTACAAATGAATAACATTTTTAATGTGTAATTTAATTTGTGAAGTTATTACAATGACTTTTACTTAGATTTCCATTTACAATTCTATGTATTTCTTACGTGTGTGGCATGCAAACTTATCTTTGCATATTACCCTGCTTTTATTGATTCAAATATCAATTAGTTTTATTTTTTTAATTTCAATTCTAAACCATTACGCTTTCAAGACTGTGCTGAAAAAAACTCCTGATTAAATAAAATTCAAATTTCCTTAATGTTGAGACAGGTCTCTTAACAGGAGGGATGAAATCAGAATTAATTTAAGCAGGAAATAGTTTTTTTCCAGAGAGTTACAAAGGGTATTTTTTAATAGGTTAAGTATTACCTGTAGTTATTGTTTTATATATTTCTGTTGCACATTTGAAGTATCATTAACTGAAGCTGTACATCGCTGATAAGAACATATTGTGTGAAGAAAAATATGGGAATAAAAAAGATAAGACACTTGATAATCCATAGACTAATGACTAGAGTAAATAATGCTAGAATACTTAACAGGAGGAGGACTTAATAAATGATGGATGGAGAGAGCTAATGCATTGGTTTTTGGATTAATTAGCTGTCAAGATAGACCTTAAATAATCAATGCACAGCTGTTTTTCAGTCTAAACTATCAATCATGCCCTGATACCCTGACACCCTCCCACAACAGAATACAATATTTAGTCATCTCTGCATGCCACAGTTGTGTCAGGTTTCTACAAGACAGCCTGCCCCCTGCCCTTTGCACCTACCTTGTGCCATGCTGAGATATAGGCAAGCCAGCAACAGGCAGAAGAAGAGCACACTGAACTTCATGGCTAAGTCTTGACGGAGGGCTTTGTCAACGAGCTGGAAGGCTGTGTTGCAAGCTGAGCCAAGTGAGTGCTTCAGGCGGTCTTTTAACTGCAAGCCACTTAAAAAAACACACACAAGATCTCATATTTCCTGCAACAAAATCACTTTTTTCCTTCATATGTAAATTGCTGACCTTTAGAATAAACACTTGCATAGTTACTGAAAGTCCTTCTCACAGCTGCCTTAGGGAGGGCTTACAGCTGTGATCAGCTGTTTCAGAGCTGTCCCTTACAGATCCCTTCGATCACATTGAAAGTATGGCACCAGGTCAGCTAAGACTAGCTAAGATATTTCTAAAATCTGCATTATATATGAAATGGAGAAAAATGGTTCAGACAGTCTGAACGGGGTTTACTGTATGCGTTTCTTTATTCACAGATGAAATGTAACATGTAAACAAACTTTTTTGTAGTGCGAGTGAACATGAAGTCTGTCTAGTAGTTTCTGCTTATTTTCCACTTTTAAACTCAAAGGCACAACTTTATCCTATTTAGAGATTTTTTATTTTAAATTTTAACTTTCGTCTGTATGTCAAGAAAATATACATCAAAACATCATTATAAAATACTTGAAGTACAACTGGTATTCAACCACTCGAAACTTAAAACTGATGTTTATAGCTGTCCTAAAAGCAGTAATATCAAGGGGTTTGTACTGTGGCTGTAATGATCTGACCACATAATTATTGAAACACTGCCACATGTGTGTACATTCCAGCATTCGTATTCAGTCTTCTGGTAAAACTAAGAAGGGAATTTATTGAGATTTCTGTATCCAGTAAACACACCTGGATACCTTTAACCTTGTAGTAAATATTTGGTGATCGTCACAGAATAATGAAATTGTTTCCTGGACTGTCAATCTTTAATGTGCAAACCAATTCAAGAAGCTTGCATAAAGGATTAGATACTTACAGTGTTTCTGTCGATGAAGCTCTGAGGCTCTTATAGGGATTTAAAGTGCAAAGCAGCTTATGCAGTGGTTTCTGTCTTCTTTGCTGTTTCTTTCACATCTCAGGTTCTTATGTAGAGCTTAGCTCCATCCCACAGACTTATCTGGTTGGCTCCAATAGGGGTTACACCCCTTACCTGACTTGACAATACACGTTCTCAGTTCCCTCTGCAATTCCTGCTAGGTTACTATTGATGTCTGTATTTCAATAATGATTTGAGTGTTAGAAATGTCCTCATTTCTCATCAATGTGAAGAAATCTGACCCCATTAACCACCAAGCTTGGCTGCTTTGTGCCAAGGGGACAGGGCCTAGCTCATAGCCTACAGATATCTGGGAATGTAATTTTCATTAAAGTGAGGACCGAGCTTGGCACAAATTTTTTCTGTCCCTACTATCAACTTGACAGTCTCCACGTGTTTAACTGGAGTCTCCAAACAGGGTGAGGTATTTTGCTTACACACCTGAGGTATGTCAATTTTTCATGTGATCCTCTGTGTTAGTTATCATGGCAAAATCTTGAAATGTGTTTAAGCAGGTAATTAGCTCTTCAGATGAAAATGAAGACAAAAGCATTGAATTGCTCGATCTAAATGAATAATGGCTGCTTTCTCCACCTTAGCTCTAGTTCCAAACACTAAATTCTTTTTTAGGCAAGTTAATTCAGGTTGGTTAATAATACTTTTAATTAAATTTAGTACATAACACTACCCATATGGTCGAATGATTTAAACCCTATTGAACTGACTCTTGTGTCTGACTGCACAACAGTTTTCCTTTTGAAAAGGTGGCACACAGATGCTACTTGACCTAACAATGGTTGGAGCAGCCTGGAGCTTTTGCTGGAATCATATGACACAAACAAGACTGAGGACTGCTCTTGTCCTTGATGGATTTGTGTTGAAGCTTGAATCATTTGTGTTTTTGATATCCCATGAGCTCCATAGCGCTAGACAGGAGAGCTAGTTCCTAGTGGAGGAGAGGCGCATCTCACAGTGAGGTCACTGCAAGTCCGCAGACTTCAGGCAAATCAGAGCAGTCTCTGTTCCACTGAGAGCACCATCACTTGACATTCCCAGTATTGGCTAGTATAATGACCCAGTATCTCACCAATATTGTCTGACCCATGGAGCTCAACCTACCCTCTGAGAAAGTATTATTATTGGCTAAGGCACTTTGAAGGCTATTTTGTGGGTTATTTGTCCTGCTGAATTGTTCTAAAATCACTCTTTCCTGCTACCCTCCTCTAATTAAAACAGAAATGTTGTTAGATTTTGACAATAAGAACCAATAAATGTTCTGAGCACATTTATGCCCAGAGTGTTTGCAAAAAAATAGGAATGCTGCCATAAATATGAGCCAAAAGTAATAGAAAGTACGTAGATTACCACAAATAGTGATCCTTCACAGACTGAAACTGGCTGTCTTGTGTGCTTAAAATATTGGAATGTAAAAGGGGGATTTACAACAAAAAAAATATCCCCAGCACTCCAAATGTTTGTTGGTGATCTTTAACAGTAATGATGAAGAAACAGTCACATTGAAGTAATTACAGGCCATTATTTTCATTGTTATAATTTTGTTATTATAATGTAAAAAGATCTAGAGCAGAATCGTCTACCTGTTTCTTTCAGAAAGACCTTGCTGATCATGTAGTTTTGTGAATTCATGCAATCATCCTTCAATTTCCTTGTGTCTTCCACACGGCATGTAAATAAGATAGAATTAAAGCTCTGCCGGAATGGGGTTCCCAGAGAGGTTCAGTCTGTATATGTATCTGTCTGGAGGACATGGAACCTGTCACCGGTTGTCCTCAACGTAGCACTCATCTTTTCTAGCTTCCCTCCCTCCAGCCCAACTTCACAGTTGCAGTTGCCTCCCTTGGTTTATTCCTAGGAACCAAGGGGAGATGTGAGAACTGATTGTCATTTCCTTAGCCAGTGGAGTGCTAAAGTATTGAGTATTCTGTCCTTTAATATTAGTCGGGTCAACTCATTATAATTAGAATTTGACCAAATTACGACATAGATGATTTGGGTAAGGGTTGATACCAAAAGCTGATAATTAAATTATAAAAGATAATAACAGTGGATGTGCTGAAAATCGTGGACTCCTTGGATTCTTACTGGTAAAAGAAATGCATGCACTTTTAGTTTACTATGAAGTTTGCTCAGGGTAAAATTATTAAAGAGCAATTGACAAAGGAGATGGGAGAAGTGCTGTTTAATATAGTTTAAATTATCATCTTTCCCTGGACTTTTGTGAGTCTTATGCAATACAGCCTGTACTTGCCGTTAAGGGATGAAAAACCGCCACAAAATCACGTATGGATACAGCAAGGACTTGCGATAGTGTGATAGTCTTAATAAGCAAAAAGGCTTATGTGGCTGCAGACAACGCCCTCCTTCGCTAGATAAAATGCACAAACTCTGCTGGAAAATACAAACTCCTACAGGTGTGTAAATAGAAAGGAAGACATGAAACCAATCCCTGTAAAAAACACCAGTTCATAATCTTGAACTGAGAGAGAAAGGCGTATTTAAAGAACAATAAAACCTCCTGCTTATCTGCAACTTGTCAGATGTAATAGCCATATCATTGAAATGTGGTTTGCTCTTTTTTCTGCAGGGCGCAGGTCTAAGGCGCTGCTTGTGCGGGATTGCACTGGAGCCTGTACAACTGGGTGAACTGCTGTGCTCAAGCGTACAGCTGCAGTGCACTGTGGTGAGCATATTCTTTCCACGGCAAACTGTGTGAAGATAAAGTAGAAGTGGTATTTCCCAACCATTCTAAGGGCTTTTACTTTTTTCTTACCCCAATTTGCCGACCTCCTGCTACAGCAGTGTTAGACCAGGCAAGGGCACATATCCAGGATCATCTTAAATCAGAAAGCCACTCGTCTTGGCTAAGATTGTGGTATTCTGGAGCCTATCCTGGAGGTACACAGCTTTAAAGAGACAGAATGCATGACAGGCCTTGGTCTTGGATGGGACACCTTTCCTTCATAAGGCCAAGGAAAAAGTGACAATTCAGAATAGCCAAACGAGCCTTTCATGGCTGGAATAATATGCAGGATCCATTCTAGAGGTGATAGAAAGGCCTAGAAATTCTACAGTGCCTTCCAGTGCCTTCCAGTGCCTAGAATATCTCAGCTGCCTATTGTCTCCCAAGATTGTCTACAGTAAAGAAAAAAATCCATCTGTTAGGTGGCTTAAAGAAGCACTCAATGGCTCATACGCTCCAAAACACACACCTTTCAACACAACTTTGTGGAGTCTCTTCAGAAACTACATCGAGTAACAGTAGTTGGCAGAATCATCTGCTGTGGAAAAGTAAAACACACATAGTCCCTCTGAAAATAAGAAACTAAATGACACCAAAAATTGTATACATTTTCCCCAATCCCTTCTGCCACCTAGCTTCCTGACTGATCAATTGTTTGCTAATAGCTTGTTTGGAAACTGCAAAACATAAATCAATCCCTTTGTTTTTGTCTGTACAGGCACATTGTAAAATACAAGACCATAACTCATTATTTTTATATGAGTTATATAAACATGTTTAAACTGATTAAAGAATATTGTTAAGTCAAGGTGTTTTATTGGCTTGAGGTGAAATGAAATAACATAAAAATTAGAAATATGACCTTGAGAACTGAGGAATGCTTTTTTTTTTCCAAACAGCAGAAGCCCCAGTGTATTTGTTGTCCAGTGGATTAGCAGTCACCTTTAGCCCTAAACCGTGACATGAGCATAGATTTGGGGCTAATTTTGGTTTTGGAGCACAGCTTTTCAGAACCTCTCTATTCATTTAGAGATTTCGACTTTTCACTTCTCTGCTCCAGACCCCCCTTCATCTGGACATCCTTTCTCATCTGCCCTGGCCTTTGTTCTCCTGTGCTGTATATCCCTCTTACTTTCCTCTGTCCCACGCACCTGGAGTAACTTTAACAGCCGGACCGCTGCATCTTTTCTTTCCACTTTTCGGCAAGGAATTAAGTTTTATCCAGCGGTCCGTGTCCTAACCACTTCTTCCAATTCAGGGTCATGGGGGAGGCTATCCCCAAGAGCAAGGCGGGCAACACCCTGGGCAGGACACCAGTCCTTTGCAGGGCAGACATACAGACACAAACACAGATGCGCAAACACTCACACCAGGGCCAATTTTCCCAAAAGCTACTAAGACGTTTTTGGACCGTGGGAGGAAACCGGAGCATCTAGGGAAAAAAAACACTTGAACGCAGGGAGAATATACAAAACTCCACATGGATAACACCCCAGGGACTGAACGGATAGGACCCCAGTGCTTTGAGGCAGCACTGCCAACAACTGCACCACCGTGTTTTAATTGTTCCTAATTTTCGTTTTCCTGAATGTGGCCTACTGACCTGTTCTCATGTGAGGGAGTGGTCCACCGCTGAGGGCCAGTCATTAGCGCTAATTATCTGAAGAAAAGTGCATGATGATGCAAAGGTAAGAATGTCAGAAAATATCGCCTTCCTTAATTGGCAGGTTAGCCTCTATCACACAGACGCACGCTCCGGGTTCGAGGTCAGTTCAGTTCCCAGGCACAAGGTGAAATCAACCGAACAAAAGAAACGAGGCACGAGTTGAAACAAAAGCAGCATTGTCCTGTCTCAGCTTGAAAGCCTCTTTTTCCCCTGGAGCCGTCATGCCAAATTGTTCCTAATCAAGCATACAGGAGCCGTCTCAGCAAGAAATGTGAGGTGCTCTTGGTTCGGGGTCCCTGCGGGGGGAAGCCAGCTGTCAGGATGAGAGAAGAAAAAGAAATAGGAAGCAGGGAAAGCTTTTGACTTAAAAGAAATCACATCAAAAACAAGAAGGAACGCGCCACTTTCCAATAAATCAAAGATGATGCTAAGCCACTTGAGACAGCTGGGAAAGGGTTATGATACGCCTGGTGTTGCAATACTGCCTTTCTGGTCCCTTCCAAGGGTCTAGAGCTGATTGTTTTTAAAGCACCTCCTAGAAAAGGTGTAGAATATATGATGAATGTACATAATAATAGAGAATTTTAACAATGAACGCATAATAACTGCTTAAGGTTAGCAT